TGCTCAGTCTCTCTGTGCCTCGGTTTCCTCTGCCGGAGGTGGGGGCGTTTAGAACGCCGGTGCATGAGTTCAAATCCCAGCTGTCACCTCGCACCGTTGGAGGCAGCTCTGCTGTCAGCCCCTGCAGCGCTGCCACTGGTCTCCGGCCTCACGGCAGCCAGGTGTGTGAGCACTGAGGGTCCAAGACGCTGCAGAGCACCTAGCGACACAGAAGCGCGTCCCCCAGCGAGCGCGTGCGTAGGCGCCGCAAGCAGCGCCCTCTGGCGAGCTCCGCGAACATGGCACCACCCGGGGCCCACATGGGCTGATGCACCGGGCAGGAAGGGCTTTCCCGGCAGACAGAGACTCGCGTGTGGCGTGTGCGGTGCCCGGCGACACAGCAGCTGTGGGCTGGCGGCTGGGGAACGCGTGGGAGGGGCTAGAGGTCAAGGCTGGGGTGCAAACTTGGGGTCCTATCTGTGTGAGCCGGAGCATGGGGTGCAGACAAGGGTGGCCTGTGAACCGGAACGTGGGACTGGAAGGCGGCAGAGGGCAAGGGGCAAGGGGAGGGTGTGTGCGTGTGTGTGTGTGTGTGTGTGTGTGGCTGCTGGGCGGAGAAGGGGCAGGAGAAGGGGGTGGGGGTGGAGGGTGACCTTTGAGAGGGCAGGGAGGGCTGAGGGGGACAAGAGCTCAGGGAAGGGGAGCAAAATGTTACTGCAAGGTGACTGAGGGCGGCCAGGTCCTTCCCACTCTTTCACTGTGTGGTAAGAGATCCACTGTTAGCTGTGTGGAGTGTGTGAGTGTGAGTGTGTGTGAGACTATGTGTGAGTGTGGAGACTAAGTATGAGTAGGAGAGTGTGTGTGAGACTATGTGAGAGTCCGTGAGAGAGTGTGTGGGTGTGCATGTGAGAGTGACTGTGTGAGTGTGAGAGAGTGTGTGTGAGACTGTGTGAATGTGTGTGAGTGTTTATGAGACTATGTGTAAGTGTGAGAGTGTGAGAGACTGTGAGTGTGAGTGTGTGAAACTGTATGTGTGAGTGTGTGAGTGTTGCGAGGTTATGTGTGTGAGTGTGAGAACATAAGTATGTGGTATGTGGGTGCAGGAGTGTGAAAACAGGCGAGTGTGGGTGAGAGTGAACGTGTGTGTTTGGGTATAAGAATATGAGCGTGCCTGTGAATGTGAGAGTGAGCAAGCGTACATGAGTGTGAGAATGTGAGTGTGTGTGTGTGGGGGGGTATGAGAATACGTGAGGATGCATGAGATGTGTGGGTGTGATAGTCTGTGATTGTGTGAGGCTGTGGGGTGTGAGAACGTTAGTATGAGAGGGTGTGTGTGACTTTGCCACTATGAGGGTGTGTGAGTGCATGTGTTGGTGCGCCTGGCAGTGCCCTGGGTCTGAGCGCCTGGGTGGAGGCCAGGAGAGTGTGACAGCATGGTAATGTGCGTGTTTGTGAGGAGGAAGGTTGTTGTTGCGTGTCTGCTGGTGCATGTCTGTCTGTTCTGGGCGGTGTGTGGCTGTTGTGTTGGGATTCCAACAGGTTGCGGGTGGCTCTGAGATGTGTGATGGGGGCGGCTAGAGAGGGGCAGGGCTGGGTTTCTGGGGGGCGGGGGAGGAGAAAGGCAGGCTTTCCTGTGGGTGGGGGTGCACCCCCAGCCTCGCCTGCCAGAGTGCAGCGGATGGAGCCCTGCGAGATGCCAGGGCAGGGGCTCACCTAGAGCTGTGGGACCTCTGGGGTCTCCCGGGCAGGGAGGAGGGCAGAGGCCTGGGAGCGAGGGGGAAGCTGCGTTCCTGAGGCCCAAGGATGCTTGTCCACAACCACACCCCCCATCTCCTGCCCCGCGCACACGCCCGGCAGCCCCGCCCCCGAGCTGCAAGTGAGGTTTCGCTGCCACCCAGCGGCTCGGCTGGGCATGGCCAGGTCGCTGCTCAGGTGCGAGGACGTAGCGCCCTCTGGTGGCGAAGTGCTGTTTTACCAGGGCTGCCCTCAAATGCAGAGGTGATGGTGGGGGTGGGGGGTGGGGATGTGTGTGGGGGGGGGTGTCGTCACCAGAGCCAGGAGCCCCGTTCTCTGAGCCAGCCTCTCTGAGAAGAGGCATCAGGCATGAGTGCTTCAGAGATGTGTGACTCAGGTGAACTCCAAACCTCTGACCCGTGACCTTTTCTGCACCGCCCCTCGCCCCTTTCCTGTCCCGCCCTTCAGAGGTGGGTGGTGGGACCGGGCCTTCGGTTCCCAGAAGCTGTTTCCTGGGAAATGTAAAAAGCCCCTGGGCAGCTAGAAGAGTCACGGGCTGAGGAATCAATTGAGCAGCCTTGAGCAAGTGTGTGTATGTGGTTGTGCTTGAGTATATGTGCACGCATGTGTGTGAACACATATCTGTGTACATGTGTGAACGTGTGCCTGTGTGAGCATGTGTGTATGCATGTGTGTGCATGCATGTGCATGAGCATGGAGAGTGTGCGAGCATGTGAGTGCATGCACGGTGTGCACATGTGTGTGATCACGCACATGTGTAAGCATGTGAGCACTTGAGAGTGTGCATATGTGAGCACGTGTGTGCATATATTTGTATGTGTGAGTGTGTGTGAGCATGTGTGTGTGTGTGTGTGTATGTGGACTCTTGAATCTTCAGTGCTAACCCATCTCATGGGCCCCTGGGGCCATCTTTCTCCCTAGCCTGGTTCCCATCAGCCTGGGACCCCGAAACTGGACCAGCAGGACTGCCTGTGGCAGGACCATCACAAGGACCCCAAATGGCCTGGAAGTCCAGGAGAAGCACCAGCCTCAGGGCATCCTGAGGCCCCTCTCCCCGCCAAGGGGAGCTCCCTCCCTCCCACAAGCCCAGGCAGTGGCACAGTGGGGGGCTGAGGTTCCTGGTTCTCTCACAGACACTCCAGGGTCCTGGGTGCGCAGTCCTGGGGGTGTCTATTCTCTGGAGCACTTGGAGAGCAGGATCCCAGTGGAGGCCAGAGTTGGGGGGCTTCACTGCAACCCCCAGGAAGGCCCCCCTGGAAGAAGCAGGGGAGGCTGGGTGCTGCTCCCCCTTCCAGGGTCCCTGAACCCCCACTCCTCTGCAGACCACTCTCACAGTGGCTCCCTCTGAGCAGGTGGACAGGTGGGCAGCACACGATGCCCTGATAGCCAGGATCACACATGCTCACAGTCACACAATCACTTGCTTACACACTCATACATGCTTACACAACTCACACATTTATAAGCTTATAGTTACACTCTCACATTTACACGTGTATACACACCCTCGCACACTCACATGATTACACAATCACAAGCACATGCTCACACACATTCACACCCATGCTCAAATATTTATATGTCTACACTTACACCCTTACACACATGGTAACACAACCACATGCCTACACACACTCACACATGCTTACACACATGCCCACATGCATACATTCATAGGCTTAGTTACATACTCATGCCCACCCAGACACTGACATGGTTACATAATCCAATCACATGCTTACACACTCACCACACACACACTCGCATAGATGTAGACAATTCACACTCACCCCTACACACTTATAGTTTACACACACTTACACACATTCACACACATGCTTGCATTCACGTGCATATACACACTCTCACACACACCCTTGACCTCAGGTCAAGGAATCTCTAGGCAGAATAGGCAGATTCTTGCCCCGCCCCCCCACTGTCCCGCGTTGGCCCAAGCCCCAGAGCAAGGTGGGCCTGAGACTGGGGTGGGGGTTGCAGAGGGTAGAATTGGGGCCTCTGGCTCAGCTGCCTTGTCTCTGGGTGTCCCCCAGGAGAGACCCGGTGGACAGGAGCTGGGAGCTGATGGGTCTGCTGTCCTCTGTGACCCCACAACACACACACTGTCACTCACACTGTGTCGGGTGTTCTGGACATCCTGAACACCCAGTTGTGCCTGTGGCCGCGGGCCCCTGCAGGTCACCCCAGCTGGGCTTCCAAGTGTCTGTGCACAAAGAGGACACTGGGGAAACAGAGGAGATACAGAAGAGGACACAGAGGGGACACAGAGGGCCCATCACAAGGACAGAGGGGAACATAGGGGAACACAGGGACACGGAGGGGGATACAGAGCGGGACACAGAGGGGGAGAGGGGGACACAAAGAGGACTCAGAGGGGACACAGAGACACAGACAGGGACACAGAGGGACACAAAGGGGACACAGAGGGGGACACAGAGAGGGACACAGGGGACCACAAAAGCACACAGAGGGGGACATAGGGGAGGACACAGAGGGACACAGAGGGGGCACAGGGTAAAATAGAGGAGGTACACAGAGGGGGGCACAGAGGGGACTCGGGGGGCACAGGGTAAGACAGAGGGGGACACAGGAGGGACATGGTGGTACAGAGGGGGATCTCAGAGGAGCATACAGAAGGAGCCTTGGGGCAACTGAGCAGGAACCCCAAGGGAACAAGGGGGATAGGGACCCTGGGAGCAGGGCCGGCTGCACCCTCCCTGAAGAGGAGCCCTGGACGGACACTGCGCCCAGATCCAATGAAGTTGCCGGACGCACCGCAAGACCCACACACGGAGCTTGGGGGCACTTTCTGTATGTCCATGGGGGTCCTGTCCACTGCGGGGGACTGCCCCCTCCCACAAGGCTGCATTGAGCTGTGTGTGGGTGTGGGGGGGACGTTGTGCAGATGGCTGAGAGGTGATCCCCCCAGGGGAACTGAGAGCCGGGTCTGTGGCGGGAGCTGAGAGGTCAGGTCAGTTCCCCCTGCCCTGGAAACACCGCTCCACGCAGACCCACCCACGATGCCCTCAGGACCCTAAGACACCCCCAAACTGCTGACCGGTGTGCCTCTGATCTACCAGCCGCAGCCCCAGCGCACGCCAAGAAAGGTCTGGAAGGGGGGGTGCAAGGGTCTCCAGGGTCTGAGTTCAGGATGCCAGCAATAAAGCCCCCCACGCGAGTCCCCCCCCCCCCCCCCCACCAGCGCTCCCGCGTGCCCAGGCATCTGGGGACAGCGGCAGCAGCACAGCTCTGAAAACCCTGTGCTTTATTGGGAACCCGCCCGCTGCGCCCAGGGAACGCGGGGTTTGGGACAAGGCAAAAGCGAAGAGGCTGCGGGACCCCTGGGGGCGTCCTGGGTGGGGGGAGGGGGCGCTCAGGCTTCCAGGGGCCACCCTGACTCTCGGCTGAGCTGGGTGGGGGCCCGGGAGCCTGGCCCAGGGCTGGGACTCCAACACTCCCTTCCCCCCATTCCAGCCGCCCCCACGCGTCCGTCCACCCCGCTGCCCCTGCAGCTGCGGTCCAGCGGCCGCTCAGTACAGGTCGTCGAAGGGCTTGGAGTAGTTGAACATGAGATAGTCCATGTAGTAGAAGTCGTAGGCGTGCTGGCGCTGCACGGCCGACAGCTGGGCGAAGTAGCGGCGCGCGATGGGCGCGGTGGTGCGCGCCTCCTGCGAGTGCCGGTCCTTGAAGCGCGGGAAGGTCAGGTTGGGCGGCGCGTGGATGAGGCGCAGGAAGAAGTTGGCGTCGTCCTCCATGCTCTCGAACTTGCCCACGAAGTCGTAGTCGATGAGGCAGGGGCTGCAGAGGCGGCCCACGTGGTCCCAGTGGATGTCCATGCCCACGGGCTGGTGCACGTCCAGCAGGTACTGCATGAACTCGGGGAAGCGCACGCCCTCGCCCGTGCGCAGGGCCTCCCGCGACGCATTGGCGCGGTAGCGCGCCAGGATGGCCTTGCCAAAGACCGGGTGGTAGTAGCTGTTGGGGTGCTCGAACTTGTCGCGGAAGGCCGACACCAGCCGCTCGAAGGGCTCGCGCACGAAGAGCATCTTGGTGTAGGTGCTGAGCCGGTGCAGGATGCCGTGGCGGCTGAAGGTGTCCAGCCGCCGCAGCGCACCACCGTAGTGCACCGTGTCGTGCTGGATGTCGGCTGTGGACGAGGCCAGCCCGGCCAGCACCATGAGCACCCGCTTCCAGTTGGAGCAACCGGCCTTGGGCACCTCGCAGTACAGCACGCGGTGCTGGTCCTCCACGAAGATGCGCGACACGTGGCGGGGCGTGACGGCGCGGAGGCTGCTGCGCCCGCGGTACCTGGCGCACGCCTCTCGCATCAGCCGCTTGCGTTCCTGCTGGCTGCGCTGCAGGCGGGCCCAGGCCGAGCTGTTGGTCTGCATGTCCCTGAGCAGCAGCTGCTGTCTGTGCTGCCGCAGCGGGCGCGGGTGGGCGCCCCGGGGACGGAGGAGGACTGGGGCCAGGTCAGGCCCCTGCGGGCCGAGGCTCCCCGGCGTCTCCCGGCTGGATATGTTTGGGGAGAATCTCTCTGGGGCTCTTCTCAAGTCTCCATCCTGGGGACTGCCTGGTGGGAGGTCCTGGGACAAGAAGAGATGCAGTTAGAGTGCGGATAGGACATCAGGGTGCGCGCGCCCGCCTACACACACACCACACACACACACACACACACACACACACACACACACACAGAGGCAGAGAGAGACAGAGAAAGATAGATAGAGAGACAGAGAGAGAGTCAGAGAGACAGAGACACACAGAGAAAGAGATGGGGGGGGGGGGGAGGAGCAGGTCACTATCCCCAGCCAGAGTTCCTGCACTTTCTGAAGTTGGGTTTGTTTTTTTTTTGAGTGGGCACACTGGGCGATGCTCAGAGGTTACTCCTGGCTCTGCATTAAGGAATTACTCCTGGTGGTGCTCCAGGAACCATATAGGGTTCCGGAGATCAAACCCTGGTGGGCTGTGTGCAAGGCAAAAGTTCTAACTGCTGTACTATTGTACTATCTCTCTGACCTCAAGGCCAAGCTTTTTAAAGAGGGGTCAGGGGAGTGATGTGGTGAGCTGTGAAATAGCTTCCAGTCATGTGGCAATTTCCGCCAACCCCAGTTTGATCCCTGGCACCACATATGGTCCCCTGAGTATCATCCCGGTGGCTGGGAAGAGGCAGATTGACCCTATGGGGTATGGCACTCCGCATTCCCTCCCCCCCCCCCCCCCCCCCCAGCTGGCCAGAGGCTCACAGCCACAGGGTTCCACTGGCCACCAGATGGCGCAGGCCTCCCAGGAACTGCGGCTGAGGCTGAGCTGGGAGGCAGGGCCAGCACGGCTTTGACAACCTGAGTTCCCCATCCTGTGGCCCCAGAGCCCTGCCTGGTTCCAGGCTCTTGGGAGTCTGCCTTTCCCACAGGGATCCCTCGTGCAGGCCCCGTCTCAGAACTCACCCGGGGCTGCTGCTGTGGCCGCAGGCTGAACTTCAGTCCTGGAAAGCAAACCGGGACATGTTAGCCGTGGCTGAGGGCCTGGGGAAAAAGCGGCAGGGGATAGGGGGAGAGAACCCAGCATCACTCAAGCGTTCTTCAAGCGCACCCCCAAGGTAAATGGAGCTTCACCAAAGATCCCGCTTGTCAAGCAGTGAAGCCCCTCACAGGCTCCCTTTCACTGTCATTAAGTCATGGGTGAGGTGTGTCCCCACTGTGCCCCTACCTGCCCTGGCTCTGCAAGGTTGTGGCTTTCCACTGGGGAATGGAGCACGTTCTTTCTCCCGTGCCAGGGCCTCCCACGGCCCCTGGCCAACCCTGCCTGTCTCCGCCCAGCTCCAGGGTGCAGGGCTGATGGCTGTTTACCCGGTCTGCTGCAGCACGGGGCAGAGCCGGGCACAGAGTGAGCCCCCCCTCCCCCACCCCGGTAAGGGTGTGCCCCCACCACCACTAAGGGCACTCTGGTGCTCTGAGAAGGGTTCGTCAGGACCACAGCTTGAAGGACTGGGGCTCATACCAAGCATGCGGGAGGGCCCGACTGTATCCCTGGCACAGGGTCCCCTGAACATCACCAGGTTACCCTAGTGGCCCCCAGCTTTGCTGAGCCCCAAGACAGAGTCATTGGGCTGGTGTAGCTGGTATGACCAAGCATGCTCCCCCGACACTGCTGGGAATACCAAGACTGTCCCCTGGGTCTGGCCTTGCAGGTCTTGGGGCTTGTCCCACTCCTGGGCCTCATGAACGCAGATTTCTGCTCTGAAGCATGACCACAGTTGGTGACCACCCCACCACCAAGGGGCTTGTTGGGGTTCCAGCAGGGGTGCTGAATCCCTGTCTTTTGCACCCTGCCGAGTCCTGGTACCACCGGGGTGGGGAGGGGACTGGAGGCATAACACATGCACAGCTGGGTCCTCAGTGCCCAGGGCATTGCCAACATCTCCGTGAGTCACTTCTCCCACATCTGCATCCAGCAGCTTCGGGCGGGGCCGCTGGAACCTTCCAGGGGGCCCCCACAGTGGGAAGGAGGCCAAATGGGGAGGGGGTGCCTTTCTGTGGTGACAAAACTGCTGGGAATCCCCTGAGCAGGGCTGGGTGTGCCCTTCCCTGAGCAAGCAAGTGGCAGTGTCCACACCTTCCTGGGCATGGGCAGGGCTCTGCGTGTGTGTGCGTGTGTGAGCACGCATGCATGCATGCTTGTGGGTGAGCCGTGAGACAGCTTCTAGACCCTTCCACCAGGCAGACAAGTGGCACTCCCGAGGGGTGCCTGACCTCTGACCTTTGAGAACTGAGTCCTTCCTCAGGGCCCCTTCCCCACCCTCCTGCTTGCTGCGCCCCCTGCTCATTCGTGCCCCTCACTGCTGCTGTCCCCGCACTGTATTTCCTTAATTATGATTTTTCTGGTGGCGGCAGCTGGTCTGCGGAATTACCTCTCCTCCCCAGCCTAAGACGGGCGTCTGCTTCACTTGTGAGTCCTGTCAGCTGTGTGTGGGGACAAGGGGGCTTATTCCTGTTCCTTTTCTGGAGCAAATGAGTCAGCCTGACGCAGCCCAGAGAACAGCCAAGGAGCCACTGAAACAGCAGCCTGCAGAGTGGGTGCGGTATGTATGTGCTGTGTGTGTATGTGTGTGTGTGTGTGTGTGTATGCTGTGTGGTATGTCTGTGTGGTGTGTATGTGCAGCGTATGTGTGCATGCATGCTGTGTGGTATGTATAGCATGTGTGTGTTGTGTGTGTGGGGTATATGTGGTGTGTATGTATGTGTTGTGTGTGCAGGTTTTCTGTGTGTGTGTTGTGTGTGAGGCATATGTCGTATGTGTGTGTATGTGCGACCGTGTGCTTGGCCACTGTCCCAGGCACCCTGAGTGTACTGCAGATGAGGGGCTGTGCCAAGGGGTTTCCCAGGTCAGCCCCTGCAATACTGCCAGGTCTGTCACACTGGGTCTCCGTTTGGCCATTTCTGCCTACAGAGACCATGTGGCTACACCCCACCGCGACCCCCCTCCCCACCCTGCATATGGCACGTGGAGTCCAGTCGTCTGCCAGCTGTGCGTCCCCACCCAGACATACAGCAGCTCCATCCCACGTGGCCACTTTGGAAGAAGGGCAGTAAGTACCAGGCGCCCTTCGCGGGCCAGAGCCTCGGCCATCCCCCAGGGGTCCTGGAGCCTGTCCCAACTCCCTTACCCCAGGCTGAAGTCAGGACCCTGGACAGCGCCACAAGGCAAGGACAAGGGCAGTGAGCCGCCTTCTCGGAGGTGCTGACCCAAGGAGACAAGAGCCCAGCCTCTGGGAACTCAGAGGAAAGGGACCCCAGGACCAGCCACTCCCAAGACCCCCCAATAAACACACGAATCTAGTTAGAAACAGCAGCTCCTGGCGGTACCCAGGTCTCCACTGCCTCCATCCCGCAAGCTCGCCCCCTCCCTGGCTCCCTCCTGCCCGAATGGTTGGAGAGCTTCAAGGTCAGCCCCACAGAGCACCCCTGCCCCCCTCCCCCGGCCTGAGCCAGGCCCCAGTCACGCGCCCAGGCCTTCTGTTCTGCACGTAATGGGACCCATCGATAAGGCGTGCCAGCCCCCTGCGTGTAAGAAATAAACAGCCACTTTCTCTTCCTGGACAGATGACATTCGCCGCACGGCAGAAACGCTGCAATCCAAGAAGAGTGAGCATCGGGGAGCGGAAACAAGGCGTGAGTTATGGGCACTGCCAAGCGCTCTCCGCGCTGTGAACTCTTCATCGTGAAGCCTGGCTTCCTGAGTGTGTGGCCCGGCTCCCTGGCAGGGAGGGAGCTGTGGGTCTCTGTGGGGGAGGGGAGGGCGGGGAACAGCCCGAGAGGTGCTGAGCAGGACACAGCTAGGAAGGGAGCATCCTGGGCACATGGGAGGGTCTCTGCCCAGGCCAATCTGCTGCCTTCACCGCAAAGGTCCCTATCCCAGATACGCAGAGTAGACCTGGCCTGAGACCTGCCCTTCGTTCAGGCTGTGTAGACAAGCTACAACAGGCATGGGTCACTGGGATCAAAGTCCCAGAGCAGGTGGAAAACGGCTCACATGGCCTACCCCGCCCCCAAGCCAATCCCATTGCAGGAGGCAGCTGTCACTCAAGCCCCAGCCCAGGAGCTGGTGGGGGGAGGGGAGGGTGGGCAAATAGGGGACAGGGTGGACGGGCAATGGGGGCTGTCCTCGGGGATTCAGACCCACAGCTGAACACAGGAGAGAAGGGAAGCGTCCCGAGAACTGTGGCCTGTGTGCCTGAACCCCAACTCTGACACAGCATCCTGACTTCCTGTTCTCTGCCTTGCTTGTTCGTGGCTGAGCCTGAATGCTGGAAAGGCCCATTCATTTTGTGTCCTCAGCCCGCACAGCCATATATGGTGCCCCGCACCCTGCCAGGGCTGTTTCAGGCTGTTCTGAGCTCAGCAAGGGTCCTTCTTCCCCACTGGCCCCCTCTCCCAACTACATGTGGAGGTCCTGGGTCCCACTGCTGGGATGAGAGCCCATGAGTGCTGGTCAGTGAGCCTGACCTCAGAAAGCAGCTGCTTCTGCCTGGCGGGACCCATGGGGAAGCCTGGGTGCAGGGGCTATGCCCCACTTTGTACTAGGCTGGTCAGCAGGCTAGAAGGTTCTCAGAAGTGCCTACTTCTTTAATTAATTAATTAATTGCTTTTTGGGTCATACCTGCGATGCACGGGGGTTACTCCTGGCTCATACACTCAGAAATTACTCCTGGCGATGCCCGGGGGATCATATGGGATGCTGGGAATTGAACCACGGTCAGCTGTGTGCAAGGCAAATGCCCAACCTGCTCTACTATCGCTCCAGCCCCAGAAGTGCCCACTTCTCAGGGAGCTGGGAAGCTTCCGGAAGGGGAGCCGGAACCTTCCCGTCTCAGGCCGATGAGCTCCTGACAGCGCGGGGCTGCTTCTCGCTTTGTTTAGCAATTCCTGTAGAGGTGGAGGAGGAGATGTGACAGGCAGCAAGACCACTGGGGTCCTCAGTGAGGAGGCCAGTCCTTCTGGGACCCCCCTGTCTGGTATCAGGCCTGATTGGATCTGGCCCACCCGGCGGAGGAGGGTGGCTGCTGGCTTACGGTGTCCCGTGCTCCATGACCATTGCACTGGACACAGACCTCCCCAGGGGCATCACGCTTCCCTGTTACTTGCCTAGACAAATGGGCGCTGCCCCCTCGTCAGGCTGACCCACGAGAATGGCCATCTTGGAGGAAGAGTTTCAAGGACTGGGAGTTCAGCCAACACACAAACCCTCCCCCAGTTCTGGAGGCTGGACGTGGGAATGAAGGGCCATGCTTCCTCTGAGCCTGTGTATGTGGGGGGTGTGGGTGGGGTGGGGGCGTCCTTCCTGGATCTGCCTGCTCTCGGGAGCCCACACTTCTCAGCTCATCATCTGGGTGTGGCCCCCCTCAGGGCTGCTCCCTGAGTCTGTCCTCCTGGTAGGTGGCCCCAGCCATACCTCCTCAGGGGCCTGCCTCTCCGAAGACCCTGGGGTCCCAGTTGCAGGTCCCAGGTGCGGGAGGTGATGTCACTCCAGCAGTCTGGAAGTCTTTTGGGACCCTGAAGTTTAGCTACATCCGTCACCCTTCCCATCCTGGAGCTGGCCCTAGAGGTGGGCAAGCCCAGCCCACCGCCCTCTCAGGGACTCTTCTGGCCTGGGCACAGCATGTGGACAGGAGCCACCTGGGATGGGACAGCACCTCTCTGGGGCTGGGGACCCTGAGGCCTGGCCTCCTTGCTTTTCCAGGTGGCTCTCAGGTGTCACTGGGCCTCCCACTCTCCTGCCTCATGCGGGCAGACAGCTCACTGATGCAGGCACTGGGCACATCTCAGCCCAAATGCACCCGATGGCCAGCGGGCAGCCTGGGCTCACCCCAGGGTCTCAAAGTGTCACTTGTGTTTGCAGGAAAATGTGAAGAGGCTGGGGAGCAGCGGCCGCCACAGCTGGCCCCACAGCCAGGGCCCAGAGCAGTCACGAGGTTGGTCCCGGAGC